ATTGGTATTCTGACTTTTAAACGCTTCATTCATTGTGTATACACTTCCTTACTGTGTCATGCAACATCGTTTAATATTATGAAAATTCAGTTATAACAGAAGCTGAGTTGTTAAGCATTTCCCTAAGAGTTACGGGGTGCATTACATCAGCGCTTCGGCAATATGGCTGCAACTAAAATTTTCGTCTATATGAGATATTTGTTTCATTTCTACATCAATACAACCCAGGAGCAGCCGCATGCTGTGTTTGACAATCAGATCGAAGTAAATTAAACCAGGAACGGATATGTATGTAACATCATTTAATTCTAAAGCTTGTGCGGATAAAGCAGGTTTTATGCATAATTATTAAAATAAGGTCACGGATTAGTCATAATTCTATTCGCTAGTTAATTAACAAAGGATTCGAAAACTCTCTATTCCTTTGCGTCCTTGTATGAACATCATATTAAAAAATTCTATTTTAGCTCTACAGCTTAGAATGAGATAAGAGTTCTTAGTTTTTTATGACTTATCTTCACAGAGCTAAAACTCTGGAGTCAGTACGAACAATTGCTAGGTAACGGCTGTGTGATACGCAGTAATAGAATAACTGTTGAAATCGGTGTTTTCTGTGCGGTTCATGCCGAGGATATACAATCGGAACCAGCTACCATTACAGAGGAGTCTTTAGACGGCAGTTAGAAGAGCAGAAAGTTAGTTTAGACGGCCGTTAGCCTGCGAGGTCATGAGTCTGGGAGCTAGGGAACGTCCACCGCTGAAGACACAGCGGACTGAGAGGAATGGTATAGAGCGTGAATGGCGATAGCGCTACAGTTACTTGCCGTTACGATCTGTAAATGTTCAATAAACCCAATTACGAATCCAGCCCCCTTCTATAGTTACTTTATTAGGTGACACTGTCATGAATGGAGTACACAGAGAAGCAGTCACTGTTTGTAAGTCTTTCAAATTGTAAACGAGACATGTGTTGCTGGAACCATTTTATAATTCTTCCTTCACTCTCGTAATCCTCAGGTAAATATTTTGTATTTCCTTTCCTACTTTCTTCTTTTTTTCTTCCGAGCGGCGCTCTACTTTTTTCATTTTCGCTTGTCGTTAAAGTTAGTTATCGTCGAAACGGCGATTTTCTGACCAAACTTTTGTTTCTTTGGAAGTATGTCCTGTTGAGGGGCACATACGACGGACGCTGATATTCTTCAGGAGCCGTGTGGGGAGTTTCTCTCTGCGTTTACTGTGACGTTGTTTGAGTAAATACTGTTCTTTATGACGTGTTTGTGATGCTCAAGGCCTACACAGCGATGGGCTAGATGTTGTTCAGTCTTCTGCAGTACCTGGTATAACCATTGGCGCCCCTGCAGATAATTTCCGTGCTGCAACAACGGATTCAGGCGAATGCGTGGTAATTATTTTGGTTAGACTGTCTCAATTTAGGGGGAGGGGAACTAGAATCTGACGATTTTAAAGTCCGGCTGGTTCTTCGATCACCGTCTCCCTCGAGAAAGGTAGTTCGCTTCGCTGAACGCTTTAAATATTTTTGTCTTTCGTCTGCGTTACGGATTTTTTTCTTCCAGTAAAGATAAGTACTCTTACACCGCCGCTCTGTTCAATCTCTCAATTCTTCCTGCAGATGAGTTCGGTCTCTTGACTTCCAAATTATTGTTTCTTTCCCAGGACTCATTTGCAATAAAAAGTTTGGTTACTTTGTTGGATTGGTGTTAATAGTCACACAACTCGGCGCGTTAGAATGCAGTACTTCTGGCACCTGCAAATATATCAGGAGTCCCTCTTTTGTTGAACTCAGTGAGAATGGAGTTGGGTTTTTTCTCTTCGTGTCCTGAAAACACTGTTTCTGGCCCACGTTTGCAAGACAATAGATTTAGGAACACCATATTTCGCTGCTGCTGACCTTAAAGAAGCAACTTCTTATATTTTTTAATCTATTTATTTAAACCATGTACGTGACGTTTTCATGCCTCGAAACCTGGCGATGAAATGAGAACCGCGGAGTACAAATATAATGTTTATAATAATGGTTCCAAATGGTTAACTCTCACATGTTTCTACTAAAGTAAATTTTCAGGTATGTACTTCAATTTCTAGACCATTATATTCGTAATCTGAAAATATTTTAGTAATGTAATAATGAGGAGCTTCAAAACTTGTTTTCTTCTCAAAGTATAATTAGAATGATCAAGTCCAGGAAGATGAGGTGGGCAAGTCATGTAGCACGAATGGGGGAGACGGGAAATGCATATAGGATATTGGTGGGAAAGCAAGGAGGCAAGAGACCACTGGGAAGACCAAGACGTAGGTGGACGGACATTAAGATGGATCTTAGAGAGGTAGTTTGGGTTGGAATGGATTGGATTGATCTGGCTCAGGATGGGTACCAGTGGAGGGTTCTTGGGAACACGGTAATGAACCTTCTGGTTCCATAAAATGCTTGGAAATTCTTGAGTAGCTGCAGATTTGGCTTCTCCTCAAGAAGGGCTCAGCTCAATAAATAAGTAAGTAAGTAATTATGAAATATGAGCTTAGAAATAAGGACAGAATGAGTGTCGAGAAACAGGCAAAGTGTTAGGGCATTATTATAGTGGGGCATGTTATCCAATCGAATTAGTGTGTAAAGTCTGGAGCATTCATTGGTATGTGAATGTCTGCTGTTCGCGGTTGTGCATGACAGCAGATAAACAGTTGATGACATGTGATCTAATAACGGGTATACTACAGTGACTATTGCGAATTGCAAATTTATGGATGCTAATGCCTCTTGAATATGCCGTATGGTTTTATAGCTGTTACTCCGTCTTCATGTGAGAGTGTCAGCAATACACGTATTTGATCCTAAATATTATAACGTTCTGTTTCCTTCGTGTTATATTAAACATGTCTTCCTGCTACATCCCATCACTATTCTACGACATAGTGATCGAGTATTAGTCCTTTATGAGTCTAGATTCCTAGCACTGCACCTTGGCTTGTGATTAAAGCCATTATGACAAGTGCACCTTTGGTATCGAATCAGAAATTAAGGTGCAAAGAAATTTTAGTCTGCAGACTTGAAGCAAAAGTAGCACTTTGGTGAACTAGTCGTAGAAAGGAGGATGATATTAACAAGGATATCAAACAAACAAGGGATGAAAATGTAGTCCGGATTTGTCTGATGCATGACAGGTTTCAGTTGCGAGATAGAATCACATAAACACAGCAATGAACTTTCGGTTTATATAAAACGAACTGGAATTTCTTGGATACCAGAACCATTGTTAGGTTCGCAAAAATACATTTCTTCCAAGTAGTTATAAACATAAAAGTTATGTTTTAAAATAAACAGATTGAATTGCTATGGGAGTTTCAATGTACATAATAAATCATTATGCTTGAAAAATTGTAAATGTTGCTTATTAAATTACCTTCCCTTTATCTCATACTAGTATTGATTGGTTATTAGTTGATTTACGAAGCTCCATATTCACAACAATATTTGATCAATGGGTTCGAATTAATAAGGGGGTATTCAGTTCCTGTTAAAGATAAATATGATTTTTATTAATGTTTCCTTCATAATCAAATACTCGTATTTTATAGCGTAGAAACACAAAGTTGACAGACTGAAGACACAATTCTCATGCAACTGTCAGGATGCGGTGTCTTGCATGACAGCAGAGTGGTTGGTTCTCCTTTTTTGGATGACTTGTTTGTTTCCTCTAATCTCCAGTCATCATCTCCATAAACTCTGCAAATGAAAAAGGAACACGCAATATAATAGCACGTACGGTATGTTCTTGTAGCAATATTATGCTATTATCCTCATATTGCACGTGTTTTCTTCACTGCTATGAAGTACTGCACTGAAGTCTTACCATGTGATCTCAGAAAATCACAGCTTTCAGTGTCTAGCATTTTTAATGCTCTCTGCCATAGCAGTAATCCTATTCGGAGAGAACTTATGTAATAATACTAGTTTATCTTATATTGAGGAAGAAAGGAAGTTATTTGACCTCTAAGACGTATTCGGAAAATAGATTACAGAATTCTAATAAAAATGTAGTTCCTTTCAAGTCTGCTAGAAGATATCATTCTGTTCTGGATCCCCAGAATGTTAGTTCAGTAACATTTTGCACTTTAAACTGTTTATTTGTCTTTCTTGTCAGCTGCCGAAGTTTCCAGGTCAAGCAGAAATAATTTTCCTTTGAACTGAGATGAGGCAGTGATTGGCTGTTGGCTGGATAGCGGTGTTAGAATCTCAGGAGAGGCAGGAATTGTCTCTTTGCCACAGCATTCGTATCGGTCCTTATGCACAACTTGCTTCCTACTATTTTGGTACCGAAATCTAAGTGACAATGTTGCCTTTATTTCTTTCGTTGGAGAATTATAGGCTGATACCCCGTATTCAATATCATATGAATATTCCTTGTTTAAAATTTTGTTGAAAAATAATTTTTTCGATATAAAACAGTACTTCCTGAAGTATCTAATATGAATATTTCTTATCTAATGTTTTTCTGAAGAAAGCAGTCTTCTGGGATTTGGCATCGTGTATATGTGGTGTTAACCGACGTTTCGGAGGAACGTATCGCCTCCATCTTCAGGGTAGAAGAAAAAATATATAAGAAATCTGCAAGCAAAGAGACCGTGNTTCTGTTGAATTTTGTTGTATAAATGAATATTTTTCTTTATAAAACAACACTTTGTGTTGAATCTCATATGACTATTTCTTGTTTATTTCTTTTTTTAAATTTTGTTTTAGAAATAAATATTTTGGTTTTGAAGTAATATATCGCAACCAAATAATTTATTCTTAAATATTAGCAAATATTAATTTTAATTAATTGCGATGTTAGCCTCAGATTCTCCCATATATTGGCATACTTCATTAAAAAAACGTAAATGTATGCATACTTTTTATTGTTCTGTCTCGAACTACATGCAAACGATATTACTTGTCTACTGATTCCAATGCACGCTCAAATAACCTCACCTTCAAAATCAACTGTTCCTGAGCCATCAGTGTCGATTTCGCCAATCATCTCATCCAGTTGGTCTGGTGTCAGCTGATCATCAAGGGCCATCAGAATTTCCCTTAAGCTGGATGTTGGGATGTATCCATTGCCTAGAGAAATAATGAAAATATTAGCAATGTCCTTCAGTAATTTAATTAGAGCTTGTGTCACAGTAGCTGTCTGTGAGATACGCACTGGCAAGCAATCATCCCTTACTCAAAGGGTTGGGCACAATCCCCTTTCCGTCTCCATTAACTTTTCTTTTTTATTCTTGGCGTGGGTTGAGCTTGAGTCCCTTGGTACTGCGGCAGCAAATGGAACTATTGTAGCATCCCCGGATGATAGATGAGAGAATGGGCCATTGGTTGAATGACAATTGCCAGGGAAACCGAAGTGCTCATAGAAATATCTCCTCTAGATCTATGTGTATCGATTGATTAGTCCTTCGTTCAGTTGTCTAACATTTATTTTTCATCCTGGACCATAATTTAGATCCTCCTCAGAACATGAGTTCGTTCCTTTCTCTTAATACATTTCTAATTTTGAGAAAGTTAATGATAAAAAGGAAGAGTGAAACAATAAAAGATGAAATGAATGAAAAATAAAAAATCAGTTAGCATAGAAGACCAATTTTTATATTGGACATTCTGAACCATCGAAATATCTAATAAATTAATGAGTATAAAGGTTCACCAAATACGATAATTTAATATACAATAAAGCGTTTACGTGTTTCGGCTACAGTTGAACATCATCAGAACTCAAAGCGAGCACTACAAAGGAAATACTTCACATGTACGATAAAAACATTCATGTAAAATGTTCCCTCTGTAGTGTTGGCTTTACCTTCTCGTGATATCCAGTAGTGGCCGAAACACGTAAAGGCTTCACTAAATATTAAATTATTTCATTTGATGGGACTTATTAATAACAAACGAAGTTCCGATAGTGGATCTCCTTGATATGTGCACATAAACATAATATTCTGAAACTAGCAATGACTTTCATGCAGCAGAGTTTTCACTGAGATGCTGACAGTGGCTCAGCTAGTTAGGAAATTCTCTGTCTTTTATGGAACATTGTTATTCATTACTGTGCTCACAAGAGATCACCGCTGTTCCCTATCCATAGCCTGATAAATCTAATTCACACTCTACCGCCTTTTTTTAAAAATCCCTTTTAATATCATCCTTTATCTTAATTTATGTCTCAGAAACTTATTCTTCCGTTCAGGCTTTTCGATTAAAATTATATATATATATATTTCTCCCTCCTGTTCCTTACCCTGAAACATTTCATAAAAGCAATATTTGTTGAAGAAAAGTTGTGAAAATCTTCGTCATGCAGTTCTCTTCGGATTCCTGCTACTTCCCCTCTCATAGCTCCAGATATTCCCTTCGGCTCCCTGTTTTAAAATACTCCCTTCTGAGAACGAGTTTCACACCAATTAAAGTAACGGGTAAGATTATGTCCTGTTCAGAATTAAACAAGTCAGCAAAATGCACGTATAGCGCAACATGTGAGACTCGTTCAGATATTTCATCACGATGTTTTAACCATTTGGTTTCTATGGTCCTCATTTGTTCCCTGCATCTTATGCCTATAAAACGACATACTTTTTTCTTAAAATTTTAGCCAAAATTGTATTATATCGACAGGTTTTAGTAAAGCTCTCTAATATAAACTATCACAAAAATCCACCCAATGGGAACCGACTTGTTTCACGTGGACGGACGGATGGACGGACGTAGAGACACATAAGCATAAAAACAAACGGAGAAGCTAGTGTGTATTTCTCGCAGTTTTTACAAACAAGCCTATAAACTCATAAAACTAAGCTGATATGATATGCATACGTGTATATTAATCTTATAACATAAAATGAGACTACTGACAGCGTAGATATGTAGTTAAACTGACACAGGATCCTTCTACGCTCACCGTCTTTGTCGTAGAGCCGAAATGCTTCTTTCAGTTCCTTCTGCATGACCTCGTTGTCCTCATCATCCAAGAAATGCATCGCCACGCGGCAGAATGAATCAAAATTCAACTTTCCGATTTCTGGAAGGAAAGGTGAACAGTGTCTTCAATATACAATGTGCGAAAATCGACTAAATTAACCAGAAATAAACCTTTTTTCAGTCAAGATCTAAAATATTGTGACGACGGTACATTAGTACAGATATTATTATGTTGGACAATATTCATCGTACTATTTTTATCAAAGACTCCGTTTTATTTATGTTTAAAAACATAACGTTTGGGAGACTGGGTTCTGTGGGTCTCAGGACAGAAGATAGGGACTAACTCTACTGATTGGGCCCAAATGAGTAGATTTTACCTGTAGACGGAGACAGAATCCAGTCTCAAAAACTGTATGTTCTTAAATATAAACAGGACGATGGATAATATCCACTTTTTCTCAATTCTATTCAGCACCGATTACAAGTGCGTTATTTGTATACGTAATTGTTCCTGCAGCCGGTCACGGTAGCCGAGCGATCTAAGGCATGCACTGTCTTCGCTCGCTCGGATGCCAGGATCGTGGGTTCGAATCCCACTCATGGCGTGGATGTTTAGTTTGTGTGTGTGCGTTTTTCTGTGTTTGTGTACAGGTAGAGGCATTGCGACGAGCTGATCACCCGCCCAAGGCGTCCTACCGAACGTGTAAGATCTAGAAAAACCGAAGTGAACGGAGACGTTCATGGACGTAGGCCTAGGCCCACTGGGGCTGTAGTGCGAAAGAAAAAAAAATGTTCCTGCAGTGTGTAACTTTATATTACTTACCTTTGAAAACAAGATCAGTTACCTTTGAAAACAAGATCAGGTGTAGGGTTATTAATAGGTCTAATTAACAGGATATAAATGTTTGGTATTCTCTCCCTCCTCATAACTGGACATAAAGCCAATATGACGCCATTTACCCGATACTTGTTTTCGGACGTTGCTGGTACTCATCAACACGTGCTTAGTTTGCGATAATACCGCCGTAAATACGGGAAGCAACTGCAGAAACATGTTAGTGTTATTTAAGATAAGATTTTATTTTCAGTGAGATACGTCTATGAACATATTTCTTTTTAAATTGGTTAAGTTTAGAGTTTGGAACATCTTCAGATGTAGCTGGCTTGATGTTACAGACATTAATTACAGATTTTATTATCGGCTCTACGGAAGAAAACTCCCGTTTTCTGATGTCACTGCCCACTGAATCTGCACTCCAGCCAACTTTAATATTAGTATAGACCTATTAAATGCAGAGATGATGCTGTCTGTTTATAATAGGAGTCAAATAGGTCATTGGCACGTTATAGTTTTTATCTGATTAATTCCCCATGAGTTCACCGTTTAATACACTGTACTGTTGTACACAGATAAAACCGTATATTCTTCTGACTAAGGGTTAGAACAGGGCCGCGCCACAGCTCAAGCGGTTAGTCACTGGCTTTCCACCGCGGCAGCCCGGGTTCGATCCCGGGGCAGGTCAAGTGGGATTTGTGGTGGACATAGTGGCGCTGGGGCAGGTTTCCCCCGAGTACTTCCGTTTCCCCTGCCAATCTTCATTCCACCAATTGCTCCACAATCACCCTCATCTGGGGCTGGTACAATAAGCCAGAAGTGGCCGCAGTACAAGGGACTTAGTCCCACCCCACTAGCAATAAAGAAAGGGTCAGAACATATTTCCCTTAATACTGGAACACTGGAAAATTAACTGCATCGTAGAAAGTTTTTTCACGTTCATTCAATAATATTCCTCACCGATCACTCATTATCGACATTCTCGTTTGTCCTTCATGGCGGCGGTACTTTCCAGAGAGTAATGAAGTTAATAGGTTTTCTATTGGTAAACTGTAGATAACAGTTTTGATGTATAGTATAGAGGCTCAACGTGATGGTAAAGACAAAATAATGTAAACGCCCTTCGCAGGAATTGGTAGCCGGTTCTTGCATGACATTTCCTATTCAGGAAATTAACGATATTGATAGCTATTTTAATTTTCCGATGTAATTCCCTTTATTCATAAACGTGATGTATTTATTTATTGCAGTTTTGTGGTTTTGTTTGCCATCTGCTTTCACGCTGCTTTCTTGATTTGCTTATTCTTCAACCCTGAAGATGGAGGCGTCATGTTTTTTTTCGAAATGTTGGTTGACTTTCAACAGATTCTATGGCCTTATATCCAAAAAGATAGAACTATTTTATTTATTTACTACAATTATTTTATGTGGACAACTGGGGTTCAATTCCCGGCAGATGCAAAAATTTTTCTCCCCTTTGCAGCATCCAGACGGACTCCGGAGCCCATTCAGCCTCCTACACAATGGGTACCGGGGCTCTATCTTAGGAGATAAAGCGGCCAGGGCGTGGAACTTACCGAGGTCAAGAGTAACTGAGCTGTAACGCCTCTCCCCCATATTCCTTCAGATTATACTGTTTAATTACATAATTAAGCACAGGAATAATTTTACTTTTAATTAATATGTTGATTATATACGGTGTGGATTGGATTGATGTGGCTCAGGATAGGACCAGTGGAGAGCTCTTGTGAACACGGTAATAAACTTTCGGGTTTCATAAAATGCTGGGAAATTCTTGAGTAGCTGCAGATTTGGCTTCTCAAGAAGGGATCAGCTCCATGAGTAAGTAAGTAGGTAAGTTAGATGATTATAGACATCTTAATATACATACTGATTTCGCCCCCTTTTGTATAACCACCTATCGGGCCAAGTCTCTGAGATGGAGAGTTAGAAGTAACATTCATTACCTTCCCAAAAGTTGCAGTGTAGAAAACAGGAAGCGAGAAACGAAACTTCAGAAATAAATTTCTTGTGAAGTGTAACAGGCTACACAAAGAGGGACCGAATAAGAAATATGAAAGTTTCGACAGAGCTGAATACCTTAATGTAAGTAATAACTTTCTAAAATCTACATCAAAATGGAAACATCACCTTCTGCGAATGGAAGGCACGCGGATTCCGTAGGAATTTTAAAGTACAGTCAAAAATGGGGAATTTATGGCACCCAAAGTTAAAATGGAGATCCCCACACGTTCTTCAACAGGACGGAGCAGATTAAACTTGGCCTAATCCATGATGATGGTGATCATCATCATGATAACTTCCCAAGAAGAAATCTGCTCATATGATCATCATATTTCCGCCTTTATTAAATCCAAAGTTCTATTGCCGTCATCACAAAATTTTTAATAGTATCATATATGGGCCAATGTACAGTACACTTCCATAAACCAGGTTCTGTACTATTCATGATTCAACTCTCAAAAAGTAATATCAGACAGGACTCGCCAGTTATGAGTCTTTGTCTCCTATCGGCGACGTCACCTTACTGGGTGGAACTTGTCACACTTTCAGTAGATCAAGCACAACTGAGTTTGGGGCACTATGCTACAAGCCGGAAGGACGCGGGCTGAAATCCTGATGGGGGTCATTGAATTTTTTATCAGTTGACCTAATCCTTCCAGCCGCACTATGTCCCTGGAGTCGACTCAGCCTCTAACAGAAATGAGTACCAGGAATTCATTAAATAAAATTCCTGGGGAGTAAAACGCGGCCGGCGCGTAAGGCTGACAACCTTACCGCCATCTCTGAGCCGCTTGTCTAGAAAATGTGGGAACCTCAACGTCTCACAGCACTATAGACCTCCACAGCCTATTTTGCTTTTTACTTTTCACTTTATGTATAATATAATATTGTAATCTATTATGAATACTTGCTTACTTCTCTGATTATATGTTTTTGTTAAATAATAATTACAATACTATAATTATTATGTTTTTTATGAACACATGCACTTAGCTGATACTTTTAATGGATATACGACAAGTCACAAATATTATTGTGACGTATGTGCTGACAGCAGGAAGGGCGAACCAGAGAAGAACAATCATTGCTAGACAGCGCCAAATAAACGTACTCCCGTTTCTCTTCGTCACCTGTTTGCTAGCCGATGGTTCAATTAACAACTCTCCGCGACAGAAGTGACGTCACGCAACAACAAAGGAGTTTTGAGGTTTTCACGGCGATGACAATGAAGAAAGTTGTCTTCTGGGTTTAGGCACCGTGTATTCTTCGTTTTGGCCGACGTCGGCCAAAACGAAGAATACACGGTGCCTAAACCCAGAAGACAACTTTCTTCATTGTCATCGCCGTGAAAACCTCAAAACTCCTTTGTTGTTGCGTGACNGACAGTCTTGAGACGGCGGTTAGGGAGTGCAGTTCGTGACACGTACGGACATGAGGAATAACCATTTTAGAAGACTGTAACAAATTGAGGCCGTAAGGAGCTCAGAAGGCTTGTGTGGGCTGTAGTGGTTGGTGCAACGTTATAGTTACTTGCAATTGCGGTTGGTAAGTATGCAATAAACTCCGTCTGTAGTCACAAAATAGTGGCGTTATCTTAAACTACTATTATGTGATGTAACCATTTCTTACGCCGGTCCCGGTAGCCGAGCGGTCTAAGGCATGCACTGTCTTCGCTCGCTTGGAAACCGGGATCGTGGGTTCGAATCCCACTCAGGGCATGGATGTTTGTGTGGGTTTTTCTGTGTTTGTGTACAGGTAGAGGCCTTGCGACGAGCTGATCACCCGCGCAAGGAGTCCTACCGAATGTGTAAGATCTAGAAAAACCGAATTGAACGGAGAAGTTGAAGGAGGTAGGCCTAGGCCCACTGGGGCTGTAGTGCCAAGGAAAAAAGAATAATTTCTTACAGTGAAAGCGGTATCTGTTGAATTTCCAGTGGCAGAGATGTTTGTCAGTGGTTCAGTTTTTACTGTATTGTTATTGTGTAACATAAATATATGTGACTGGTTTGATTTGAATTTTGATTTGCTGTAAATCTCTTGATTCTCCTCGACCAATAAGAGTTGTGTTACTAATTTCAGAATGTTCTTGGTTTCCAAGCCATAACTTAAGGTAAAGTTGTCCCTTTGCTAAACTAATTAAGCACTATGCCATGAAGGGGTAATGGAGGAGTGGATGTATAGATCCACATTTTCTTGATTTTGGCACTAGTTGGAGATGAGTGATCACGCCCATGCCG